TCCATGAGGCGCTGAAAAGATTGGGCTGAGTTTTTAAGGCCGAACGGCATCCTTAGGAACTCAAAAAGGCCGAACGGTGTAATCACCGCTGTTTTTGAAATGTCCAGTGAGTGCATGGGCACCTGATGATAGCCCCGGACGAGGTCCACCTTAGAAAAAATCACCATACCAGCCAGGTGTGCCGAAAAATCCTGTATGTTCGGGACTGGGTATCGGTCAGGCGTTGTTGCCTCATTAAGCCGCCGGTAGTCGCCGCATGGGCGCCAGCCGCCACCAGGTTGGGGACGATGTGAAGAGGTGACGCCCACGGGCTGGCGGACCGGCGGACTATTCCAAGGCGTTCCATGTTAGAAAACTCGGCCTTAGCGACGGCAAGCTTGGTCGGGTCGAGGCGCGAGGAGCACGGGCGTAGACGGGCGGACCAGTGGTGGCGATATGGTGTTCCACACCATGCTTCACGGCAGATGCAGAGAAAGTGGGCTGGGTCAGTTCTGGAAAACCAGCCAGTAGACGGTGGAAGTCGTCTGATGGGGAGAGCATGCTAGACAGTCGTATGGAGTCAGCCCCGCTGAGCGTGCACGTATAAGAACAGAACGTGACAGCGTCGATCAAACGGCGGTTCTTAACATCCACCAACAGTCCATGCGCACACAAAAAATCAGCGCCAAGGAGGGGAAAAGCGACCTTAGCCGTGACAAAATCCCAGCCGAACCGATGTTCTCCGAAGCATAACTCAATGTACCTTGTTCCATACGTGCGGATGGGGGTCCCATTAGCAGCTTCCATCGGGGGGCCATGGCTGTCGGTTACCATGTCCAAACGGGATGCAGGCAGAACACTCCTCTGTGCACCCGTGTCGCACAGGAAACGTCGTCCGGAGATGCTGTCACGGACAAAAAGCAGCCTGCCTACGCGGCCGACACTCATGGCCACTAATGAGCGCCGGCCCCGGCGTTTCCCAGACCGCCGAAACTGCATGGTGAGCGGCATTTAAGGGCCTTCGATCCAAACTTGTCGTGATAGAAGCACAAGCTTGAAGAAGACTGCTGGGGGCCTGAAGCTTGCTGACGACCTGAAGATGGTTGCCGCCGAGAAGAGGTTGCTGGGACAAGGGTGGAATCCTCCATTGTCACAGGAGCGACGTGTGTGGGAGGAAATGCGGCCATGACACAGTGTCCTTGGCTTGCCAGGAAAAATTTATCAGCCTCTTCAGCCAGTTTTCGACAGTCAGTGATTGTGGTGTTGGCCAATGCAGCTCTGACTTGGGAAGGCAGCTGACGCAGGAAAAGCTGAATGAAAAGAAAATCGGGTGTGTGCTCACCCAGGAGATCCAGCATACGGTCCATGAGCTCAGACGGTTTGCTGTCACCCAGTCCTTGGAGGGAGAAAAGCCTGCTAGCTCTCTCGGCGTCGGACAGTTCAAAAGTCTTTAACAGGTGCGCTTTCAGCGCCGCATATTTCTCCGTCTCTGGAGGACGTTTAAGGAGGCTCACCACTCGGGCCGCTGTTGAGTTACCGAGAGCCGACACGACGTAGTAGTACCGCGTTGTATCAGCGGTGATCTCCCGCAGCGCGAACTGCGCTTCAGTCTGGGCAAACCATGCCGACGCTGACGATTCCCAGAACTCGGGGAGCTTGAGGGTGACAGCGTTCGCGGTCATGGTCGAGTCGCGTTTGCGAATACTTCCAGCAAACGAACGTCGGGGTCACCAGTGTGGAAGTTGCGTTTGTAATGAAAGGCAATTCCGCGAGTTGAGAACAGCAGCGTGTGTCTCGTTTATTATTACCATAACAACACTCAAGATGGCGCAGCCCTGTAACCTCACAAGCAAGGGACTCTACGTCACAACATAACAAAACATTTAAAGGGACCGTGATCCCGGAACAGTCGCAATTGCGTGTACAACAAAACAAGAACAAAGGTGAATTATGCAGTCACATTCACTACAATAGAATATATATACAAACATACATATTTAACAGAAGCACAATTCCTAAGTAAGATAAGATAAGATAAATACATATATAAGAAAATGTAAAAGAAGTATGTCTAGAATTGGTAGAAAATAGTAGACTGAACTTGGTCGTTTTTGTTTTTATCATACGAGTGGGCTGGACTCCGCTTGGCCACCAGCTGTGATCTCCCTCGGCACTGCCAACCTCTCACCACACCCCACCAAGGATGAAGAAGAACGAACATCTACAGCCCCATCAATGAACAGTACATGCTTGGACGATCTGAAATCTGACGACGAGAATCTGACGAGCAAAGAAAGCGGGACTCATTTGGCAAGACTGAAGATCCACAGAATTAAAGAGAACATTTACTCCTTTAGACCTTGTCATGAAATTGAAATGGCAAGGAAGCAGAGCTTTGGGAGAACAAAGACAGTTTTGTCAGCACAAACGATTCCAAGCTGACAAAGTAAGAGCCCTGACAAAGCAGCAGAGAAGTTGTACCAGGGACGAAAAAAAGAAGAAGAAACATTGATGGGCAAAGACTTTCCGGTTACCTTTCCGGTTGACAACGTTGTGTGATCACTATTGAAAAGTGGACATTGGAGTCGAGGAGATGGCGGTGGGGGAGGGGAGGAGCAGCGGGAGGGCGAGGCGGACCCCCAGTGACGGATCAACAAACACACCAGATTATGATGTACAAACTGCACAAATAAATGCCACACCTTTCAGTAGAATGCTGGAATCACAGTTTGGCAAATTAAATAATTTGTCTTATCACTGTTTATTTTGATCTCAGTGGATGTATCGCTCCTCGTTGTGTTTGGGTGCCTCTAATACTTGGGATTGGAGGCTACAGCAGCGTCGGGTGGATGCTACCATGAATAACCAACAGAATTCTCAACAAGACGATGAGAATCAGGGAAACTGCAGCATGCTGGGGGAGATCATCTCAATCCCCTGACAGATTACAGCAACGCCTCAATGGCCTTATTTGAATACAATGCTGACACCGGATTATGAAACGATGATTTATTAGTCCAAAACTGCAATGAGTGATGAAATGATGAATAAAGTTAATTTCTGTATGTTGTAAGATATTTGTTGGTTTTAGTAATCCAGGTGAAATTCTAGATTTCTTTTATATCTTGGTTTTATGCAATTATTCAATTAGTTTGATTAAACATTCTTTTATTTTTTCCTTTTCATTTGTAGTTATACTTCGTTGTTTATACGAAGGGGGACATGCGAAGGGGGAAATGTTGGAAAAACTGCAATAATGTTCCACCTACACTCTACTTCATAATCAGAATGTTTGCACATACATGGAATTTGTCTCCGGTTACACGTTGCTCTGGGATACATAGATATACAAATAAACTGAAAAAAGACTTTAAGCACAACGAAATAGAACACAAAAACTAAGCATAAACATTACGGATATGTACAATATAAAGTGGTGCAGATGGAGGTGTCTTGTTAATTGTTCATCAGAGTGACGGCTTGTGGAAAGAAGCTGTTCCTGTGTCTGGTGGTTTTGGCGTACGGTGCTCTGTAGCGCCATCCAGAGGGGAGGAGTTGGAACAGCTTGTGTCCAGGGTGTGAAGGTCTGCAGTGATCTTGGCAGCCCGTTTCCTGACTCTGGAGGTGTACAAATCCAGGATGGAGGGCAGGCTGGAACCAATAGTTCTCTCTGCAGACCTGACAATCCGTTGTAGTCTGGCTCGGTTCTGTTTGGTGGCCGATCCAAACCACACAGTGATACAGTGAACAGAGTGGATGATGGCACAGTAGAACAGAATCAGCAGCTCCTGAGGCAGGTTGTACTTTCTGAGCTGGCGCAAAGGTTGGTGTAGAGGGAGAAGAGCAGGTAGGGAGAGCACACATCCCTGGGGTGCGCCAGTGTTGATAGTCCCAACCTCACCTGCTGCGTCCTGTTCGCCAGAAAGTTTGGGATCCACTGACAGGTGGACGCTGGGAGAGTTTGGGTTGTACTTTCAGGATGATGGTGTGAAACGCTGAGCTGAAGTCCACAAACAGAAGCCTTGCATATGTGCCTGGGGAGTCACGGTGTTGCAGCAGACGGTGCAGTCCCATGTTGAGTGCATCGTCCACCGACCTGTTTGCACGGTAGGCAAACTGCAGGGGGTCCAGCAGGGCCCCTGTGATGTCCTTCAGATGGATCAACACCAGTCTCTCAAAGGCTTTTATGACCACAGACGTCAGGGCGACGGGTCTGTAATCATTTAATCCTTTGATGGAGGATTTCTTGGGAAGCGGGATGATCGTAGAGTGCTTGATACCAGATCATGTATGTATGTATGTTGTAATTGTCAGTGAAATAAACACCTGGGAGGTATGCACTGAAGCTCACTGATCTAGGTGTGGATGTGCAGAATTCGCTAGTTTTAAATTAAATTGAGTGTAATTCACTTACATATAAACATATTTATGGGAACCTGGTGGTTCTATGTGATGGTGGTTCTATCTGACGGTGGTTCTATGCGACGGTGGTTCTATGTGACGGTGGTTCTATGTGATGGTGGTTCTATGTGATGGTGGTTCTATGTGATGGTGGTTCTATCTGATGGTGGTTCTATGTGACGGTGGTTCTATGTGATGGTGGTTCTATGTGATGGTGGTGGTCCCTGCAGTGGTCCTGCTGTGCGTCTGGTTTACTACTCACAGTTACTTGAATCATTTCTGTCATATAGTCTCATGTATTATACATAGTTCATTCTGTACACATGACATCATTGTAGTCTGTCCATCAGGAGACGGATCCTCCTCCTAAGGTTTCTTCCCTTTTTCCTCTTGGAAGGCTTTTTTCATTGTTTGGGGAGTGTTTCCTGTGCCGATGGAGGGTTTCGGCACAGAGGATGTTGTATGTGTACAGACTGTAAAGCCCTCTGAGGCAAATTAGTAATTTGTGATTTTGGGCTCTACAAAATAAAATGAATTAAACTGCTTGCAGCAGGCAGCAAATAGAGTCAATTAAACATACAAAGCTCTCTAGTGTGGGTAGCAAGTAACTGATCCACAGGTGAGGACACATGGAGGTTGAGTTTATTATCATATACTCAAAAAAATAACAATCCTATCGATATCTGAAAATATATAAGCCAATGTAATTGAACCACTAAATAAAATCTTGACTTGTGTAAAGTAATTGCAGCAATGTATATTTGCATTGAGTTGACAGAAGGAAATAAAACTCGTTAATATCCGATAAATGCTTGGTATTAGACTTTTCCCCCACATTTTCTAATGTCTAAAACGACAGTATAAGCAGAGCAAAACAGTGAGAAGAAAAGAAAATGGCATTTGTACAAACATCTGCACACTTTACTTCTCTCTCAGATCCTTCTCAGTCTCTTGAAGTTTATCTATACCTAACGCAGCATCCAACAGGTTGCTTTCTTCCTCCAATCGGTTGTTCCTCAAAGCACCGTCTCTCTAAAGACTCCGATCAGGCTGTGTGGGCGTTCAGGGCGATCCAGACGGGACCCTGTCCTCGAGGTCGGCCCTGAGCCCCCTCTCCAGGCCGCCCCGGGATGGTTTCCACGTCGCTCCACCGACTCACAGGTGAATGAGCTGAGGTCCCCGCAGCTCTGCAGGTGCAGCAGGCGGGGCCTCCTCCTCGTCCTCGTCCTCCGGGGGCGAGGAAAGGTCACCGAGTGACTCTCTGCTGGCTGACTGGGATCCATTTGGGAGTCAGTGAACACCTGAAAGCCAATGGGAGCTTCTGTTCAGGACACCTGATCATGATTCATGCAAATTGCATTAAGCTCCTGAAGGAATAACGTTGTGATAAAAACTACAATGAGCACATGTTTTAAGAAATTACTGAGCCTTTTTTATGATTCTAGATATTGGGAGGCGTTTTTACACAAATCAATGGTAGCTGTTACTGTACTGTTCATTTATATTGCACACATTTCATTTAATTTAAGTTTTTCTTTTACAACCTGCTCAGTTTTGCACGTTTCTCCTTACCTCATTTTTATTTTTATTTCATGTACAATTATGTAAATATTGTACATATAAAAATCTTGAATGTTGTAGGTTCTTGGATTATCTTTTTTTAAATGCCTACTCGTGTTGACTGCAACATGTACCTGTTCTATGTAGCTGGCACAGCGCACGGCCTCCTCCATGTGCTCCTGGTCCGACTGCAGGACGTTCCGTATGCTGTCCACCAGCTCCTGGACCTCCGGGACCAGGCCCTGGGCAGCCGGCTGATCCAGGATCTTCCTGACCAGCTGCTGCGTGTGCCGGTAGCTCTGGTAGTCCACCATGGAGGAGGGCCGGGGCCGGCGCGGCGTCCTGCCGCCGCCCCGTCTCAGAGTGACCTGGCCCTGGGCGCAGGAGGCCAGCGTGGGCTGGGAGGTCTGGGTGGCCGAATCTGTGGTCTGAAGCGACGGAGCGACACTGCTGCTCTGCACTGTGGTGGAAAGGAGGAGGAGGGGGGGGGGGGGTTCAGGTTCCATGTCAGTATATCCAACTACATTTGAACACGTTCATGGATGATTTTAGAATATCTCCATGTGGATTTATTACTTATTAAATACTGGTCATTAATTGTTGTGTTTTTGAAGCAGCAAACGCAAAACAACTTCAAGATAAAAATTGTACTGCTGTGAGGACGTCACAACCGAGGGAATCCTGGAATTCGGAGGCAGGCGAGCGAGACTTGGTCCAGGTAAAAAATAAGTTCTTTATTTGTAAAAAAAGGAAGTTTCCTGATGCAGGTCTGATTAAACAAACAACCAAACAAAACCTAATTCATTAAGTGAATAAACTTCACATCACCTCATCTGACATGTGCCCTCAGCTACACAGATGCTCCACCATTTCCCCCCAACGGTCAACGTCCTCCACCTTTATAGCGCCGTCAATCAATGTGCACAGGTGACACCCATTATGACAGTCCAACCCGATGATGTCACTGCTGACATCCCCCCCCCCTGCACAAACACTGGGCCCCCAGCACACCTGCAGAGCATGGCAAGCATCCAACCCACATCCCACCATGGGGACAAAGGTGAGTCACAACTGCATAAGCTATTTTCTCCTATGCACTTATTGGGTGGCTTTTAACTCGAAAGGTGACCAAAGAGTGTTGATGGACGATCTCGATCAGGGTCACAGACGGGGGAACAAACCAACCTTTAGCGGCGAGGTCCATCAACACCGGGTCACTGTTGGAGCGCTGGATCCTCACCTTCCTGCAGGGGGTCAGTGCTGGAGAGGACTGCTGCTGTGGCGGAGGAGGAGGAGAGGGAGGGGGGAGAGGCAGGATCTGGGGGTTGGTGCCTGGTGATGCCGATACCATTTGTGGACTCCCGTCTAGGACGGAATACAGACATGTGCTCCAGATGCTTAAAGAGGAACGGCACCGTGATGAAACACATCACACAAGAACACACACGGGCTGCTGCTTGAACTCATCCCTAATCTTTCAGGGCCAGTTCTGAGAAGGTCCACCAGGATCACACCCTCGTCTCTCCCTGCAGCTTCTTTCATTTTATTAACCACTGAGGTCACGGGTGTCCAACGTCTCAGTAACCCACGCAGAAGCTTCAACAACCCCTATAGATGGGAAGACACATCATCCTGGGTCCCATTTGAATTACATACTAGTTAAATATGAGTGTGCATGTACACAGACACTGAGGTAAAGCCCATCGGAGAAACACACTGCAGCGCCAGCACACACGTACCCCCCCAGCAACACACCCTGAGAGAAACAACCAGCAGGATCTGTCAACATGTCCAACCAAAGCAAAGCAGCCTGACGGGGACATCAAGAGACAGCAGGACGGCACCAGCATCTCAGCAAGGGGCCCCTCAGACACCGGAGCCGCTGAGCAGTGTCCTACCTGGAACACATGGTACTGGTGCAGTTGGGTTTGTCGTCCACTCCCTCGGAACAACCTCCGTCTCCTGAAAAAGACAAACACTGGGTTGGTAGTCGTAGTTTATTAGAAAGAACTTTATTTTTATGGCAAGATGACTTTCCACTGGGAGGTGCTGCTAGAGTACCGTTCTTCATTTACATCACGTGTCATTTAGCTGACGCCTTTATCCAAAGCAACTTGCATTACGTGCATTTCAACCATAAGGATACAAACAAAGTGACATTTCTATCAAATGAGCCGATCTACTACTTGCTATAGATAAGAGCCATTAAAAGTAGTTTACAGTTCGTTAGTGTTTAGTGGAGGTAGAGTGTGAAGATGTGAAGGCTCTCTGGTCCTGATGCGAGTGGTTTTGCTCTCAGTGAGGTTGGCCGGTTGCCATTGACAGTTTGATGCTGTTGAAGCAGGACCACCACACGGCCTGTAGATCCAATCCTGAACCTGCTTTGGCTTCTTTCACAGCTCGATTCAACGTGCTATTGGGGAACCGGCTTACTCTCCTTCTCTGTATGGGCTGCTGGACAGATGTACAAGGTACTGGAACCAACCATGAGACAGAGAAGTTTCATCGTACACTTCAAGTCAAAGGATCAGACCACAACAAGCGGCGTGGATTATCTCGAGTAAAGCGGTCATTATTTCTGAAAAGAGACATTTCCGTTGACTTGTGTTGTTGTTGAGTGATATATAATCATTACGTTCAATGAAAGACCGACGTGTCTCCTGCTCATACCGCCAACATCTCCTTTAACCCGTTGAACTCGGAGTGTACCTGTCTGGCTGCGTCGGTGGAGCTGCCGGCAACAACCTCGTACGGGGGAGGGGGGTCAAGAGGACAGAAGACCTCCACCCCTTTGATCCGAGACCCGTAGATGTGAGGCAGAGGGATCACGCCGTCCCCAAGGATCCTGAAACACAAGTCACCCAACAAACAGTGTGTGGGACACGCCAACAACAGGGCCGATGCGTGTGTGTGGGGGGGGGGGCGGTTACCGGCGAGCCAGGCGTGGCGTGTAAGAGTAGAAAGTGGAGAAGTAGGATGGGGGAGGGGCAGGGGCCACAAACTCATCTGGGTCTGGCCCCTGACCAGGGTCCTCCCCTTCCTCATCAGGGGCCCTGTGCTCGTCCTATCACAGCGCAGAGGATACGTGACATCACACGTCATGTTAGATGCTTAAAGGCTTCTTAAGGGCACACACAATGAAATTCTAAATTCTAAAGTTCTATTGCGTGGTCCCGTAAGCAGAGATATTTTATTGACATAAAAAATAGAAGGTTTTTATAACAGTGATGTAAATATGTAGAGCACATGCAGTGTTGATGCAGGGCCTCTGGGGGCCCCACAGGGCCTGAAGCTTCAGGTTCTTTTACATTACAGGTCATTTAGCGACTTACACTTTAAACTCATGGCTTTTTCACATTTTGCCCAGGGAGAAATTAGGGGTTAGGTGCCTTGCTCAGGGACACTTCGACATGGAACATGGGACAGTCTGGACTCGAACCACCAACCTTGTGCTTCCCAGCGCACCTTCTCTAACCCCTGCGCCACGACGACTCCAACTAACAACTTCCTACAGAGGCGGCAGCGGGTCCGACTGAGACCCTCCTGAGAGGTTGGTTGATTGTCCCTGAGACCCCACGGAGACGCCGACCGGATGGATACAACTCTGTGTCCTTCACTTCCACCTGGTGACATGAAACACTAAACAGGTGTTGACAGGAGTAGAGACGCGCTGGGAACCGCAAGGTTGGTGGTTCGAGTCCCGGCTGCCCCATGTGCGTCTGGATAAAAGGAATCAAATGTAATGTAAACATCCGTTTAATAAACAGCGCATATGGATCAACACTGCAGGTCACATGACAGTGGTGCACGCTACATAGACCTGCTGGTGTTTGTAATCACCAGGCAGCAACCTCTGCTTCCAGGCTACGACTTTATGCTCTCAAGTCTTCTGATGGTCATTTAGTTCGTTATGTTCTATTAGGGGGGTTCAGCCAACCAGCAGCCACGTTGCAGACATATAATGTCATATTCACTGTTGAGTATATGAATCAGCATTACTTAGAACCGTCTAAATGAGGTCTATGGTTGTCACTTTTAACGCTCCTGAAAACAGGGTTATAATATCTATTACTAGTGAGGACGTGCGCTGACACTATTTGCTGTGTCATCTTGGACATTTACCAAAATGTCGCAGTCCAGTGGGTTTTTTTGGAAGAACGGTTTTAATGGAGTCGGCTTTGGGCCACGTGGTGTGGTCTCCAGAGAGCTGCAGGACTTCCACGCAGTGAAGATGGAGGCTTAAAGTAGTGCCATTTGAACGGGAGGAGCAGCACATTATCATTGGGAATTCTGTGTGGTGGAGCTGATATGGAGACAGCGCTGCTTGGACATCCCCCAGCAGGCCGACGTGATCCTCGTACCAGGCACTGTGTCCTCGCGCTGAAGATCTGCAGGTATCTCAGCGCGGCCGCCATGAGGCACACGGCGGTGGTCAGCGCGTTCAGGGCGCACAGCGCAAACAGCACCTTCTGGGGGGGAAAGGAGACACGGTTTCATCCGTTGTCCACCGTGGACACACAGCAAGGACGCCAGGAGCTCCAGGGGCTAAGAGCTGAGCAAGGGTCCCAGTGCAGCACGCGGGGGGCTCAGGTGGGCAGATCATCTCAATTGTTACATTAATAATAGACCTTTGATAAGCCCACATTTAGGATGGTTTTGTCAGGGACTCATTTGATCGATTGCAGGAAACTTTATGTCACATAAATTTCTATATTGTATGTTCATATAAATGGGCGCTGTGATCTCACAGATTGAGACCACAAACTTTGTTGAATGATGACCAACTTATATTCACGCTACATCTATATGTTAATCATTCATTCCTGGGTAAATGTGTATTTAATAGTCATGTATTCATTTGATTTAATATCGTGGAATTGTAACCTTGAACATTTTCAAAGTGCTTTTAGGCTTTGCGGTTACCTTGAGCAGCACCCGCATGGTGCTGCAGGAGGGGGCCGGGTGGAGCTGCAGCAGCTGCTCCTGGGGACAGTTGGAGCTCGGGGAGACGGCGCAGCAGTAACACACATCTCCAGCCTCACTCTGAAACAACAGACACCACTATACTTCTTCACAAGCCACAGCTCTCCTGAAGGATCAACGTGTAAGTGTGCTAAGCAGAGGGACTGCATCTCATCCTAGTGCTAAGCTATGCTAACCACCTTCTGCTGAAGTGAAGAATGATCAATACGGAAAGAAACAGATGCCTTCTAGAACATCAAATATGGAAACATGTACATCTCATTCGACATGTTCATTTCGAAAGGTTTCCCACCGCTGCTCCACGTGTCCCTCAGACTTCTTGGTTTGGGAACAGCGGAACGATTGATTAGTGGGATTTAATTAGAATGAGCTGGTACCGTGACGCAGCCTGGTCGGCCGAGCGGCCCTCCTCCAACCTCGGGCAGCAGTCCAAGAAACCAATGTGAGGGTTTTAAAACACACACACACACACACCTATTTATAAAGCAGAGAGAGAAACACTGCGTGAGCCTCCGTCTATTCTTATACCTCTAGGACAGAGACACAAAGACGTGTGGACACCAGGGTGACAGGGGAAGACAGGGAGGAGGCCAAAGGTCACACGCCTAGAAACAGACCCATCACACCTCCTGCAGCCTGACCTGCCAATGGCTTCTATCGCTCATTGCCATAAACACACACAGAAGATGAGTGCATTAGGACCAAGTGAGTGAACGCGGTCGGACGTGTAATACATGGAGGCAGTACGGACGACCCTGCTGAGCCTCCCAGGAAGAAGCAGTGAGCAAATCTACGACAGAAAAAGGGGTAAGAGCCTCACCAGTTGGCAGCTGGTCATACTGGAAACCAGCTGGGCCCCCTGGCAGCACAGGATGAATCCAGCCAGGTTAAGCAGCACACACACCAACGACAGCAGGACAAAGACGTTTACCTGGAGAGGGAGGGGGGGGGGGGGGGGGGGGACAAAAAAAGAGGCAAAAAGGAAACATGTTTGGGTTTAAGCCCCGGGCGAACAACTTCACAAATCTCTGGACAAAGAATTACACTTATTAGACAAGGTTTTGCTCGCTTCAAAGTGTGTTCCAGTCATTTAACATAGGTGACGCTGCTTTCCACAGGGAAAGACACACGGAGTTACCTCTTCTTCCGGCACTTTGTGAGCAGAAAGAATGGTTCAAACGTGTTAAAGGTTTTCATGGGCACATGAGAACGAGAAGCTGCACTGCAGAGCAGCGCTGGACCTTCCCTTCTTCATACGAGCCCCTTGGTGCTTCGTCCAAGTCACGAGCCACTAGCATGTTCCATTTGATTGGGCTGGAAGGAGTAGTCCACAGACCAATGGGCGACTTTAAGGGACCACGGTCTGTGGTTCCATCACACAGCGACTGTCAGACCAAATGTTCCAGGTTAAACGGTACGAAACACCTCAATCCATTAACAACTGATGACTTTCTGTTCTCTGTTGAGACGGTCTATCAAATGTCTTTTATCACTTTATTTTTGTCTTTTCAAAACAAACAGGATACACACACATCCGACCAACCGCTGCTGCTCTGAATGAAGGTCACTGCAGCACCAGGGTGCTTCTGTCACAGAAACCCATCTGACACCAGCTGATTGTGGGATTACTGACCAAGGAGCTGCTCAGCCCGGTGTGGTCGTCCTCCAATCACAGGGTTGGCGGTTCGATTCCCAGGCCCGGCCTGTCAATGTGTCCTTGGGCAAGACACTGAACCCACCCTTTCCCCCGCGGCTGTGACTACAGTGTGTGACTGTCAGCGACTGATGGACGGGTGGAACTGTGTGGTTCTCCTGTGATGACATGAAGCGCTTTGAGTGCTCGGAAGACGAGGAAGACGAGGAGCTGCAGCTTTACACTTTGACATTTCCATTAACAGGTTTGCTTTCCTGTGGGAAGACGTGTGCCTAAAGTTGGTACATGCTGCATTCTCATTTATTAAGCGAAGTATTAAGAACGAAAAGCTATTCCCTCACACTTCCATATAATCTATATCTGATGGGACCGATGACGTGGGCCAGAGAGCGGCGTATCACATCAGCTCAGCTCGTTATTTCATGTCCTCTCCACCTCCAGCAGAGGGACGGAGCCCTGGGAACCTCCAGACTACTGTGCTGCATAGGAACGGACGAGCCGTGGTGAAGTGTTTCATATTTAAAAGCAACACAACATCATGCAATCAGAAGTAAAACCAGGTCCAATGCTCACCAGTAACAGCATAGGCCTCCTCCATGTGGTGAGACCCACGATGCCTGACAGTATGACCTGGAAACAAACCCAGAGAAGTCATTATTCCAAGAACACAACACAGGACCAAACAAACAAATACACATAATTAACGAAGAGTCCAGGCACGTGATGAGTTGGGCATTGGATAAGCCTCTGGGCGAGAGGGGCTGCATCTCCATATCAAGCAAACCAATGAAATCTGCATGTGTTGGTTAGGTGCGTCTGGCGCACATTCAATTCAATTCATTTTATTTTGTAGAGCCCAAAATGGCAAATTACAAATGTGCCTCCGAGGGCTTTACAGTGTGTACACATACGACGTCCTCTGTCCCCAAACGCTCCCATCGACACAGGAAACACCCCCCAAACATAAAAGCCTTCATGGGGAGGAAACCTCAGTGAGGACGTCAGAGGAGGATCCGTCTCCTGATGGACAGACGGCAACGATGTCATGTGTACAAGATGAATAATGCGTTCAATTCATTATTGTAAGAATTGCCTCTTAAACACGTTGTGGGTCTTTCCTCATTTCATTCACTCATTATCCGTCCTTGTTTGTTATGTAATCAATGTATGGTGTGGAGTCCTCCACCATTACGTTCACTAGCACTATTACAGTGCAGCTTCCCCCCGACGGTAACACAACACGCACAATGTGGTGTGTAGCACAGGAATGTAGCTGCAGAGGGCTTTGTCCCTAAATAGCTTTGGATGGATGGAGATACGTAACACGAGCAAAGGGGGGGGGGCTGCTACAGTCAGATGATGTGTGAGTGGAAGGAGACGGTGGGGGGCCAACAACAAAAACACCACCACCAACACCAACACCAACACCACCACCACCACCACCACCACCTCCTAAACGAATTAGCCATAAATGTATGATTAGGATACAATGCCATATAATCCAGTTTGGCCCCTTAGATAAATTGTGTATCAGTATTCTGCACCAACACTGCTGTCAGGATGGAACAACAGCTTCAACACAGACATATTCTTTTAAATAGTTAAATAGAACCAATCGAGACATTAAGAAGTGTGATTGTAAATGCATCTGACAGCGGTTAAAGTGGCATTTGCGTCCTATCACAGTAGGTCCAAGTAGACTGAAGACTCCGTCTGGATGTCCATCTGAAGGCAGCGTGTCCTCCGGAGGAGACGCACCGCGCGCACGGCACCAGGAAGCAGGTAAACCGACCGGTTCAACTGCTTTTAAAGTTGATCAAATGGATGTTCGCTGGGTTTCCTCGTCGATAGACGGAATAAATAGATATTTGTCACCGCGAGGCGGAGGACGACTGCGACCACAGGCGCCATTCCACCCTGGAGCGACTCACCGAGGAGCCCGCCCAGAAGGGGCAGGAGGTCCGCACGGGGGCCGCGCTGCTGAGGGACCGCGCTCCGAAGCACAGCGCCACCATGGAGCCGCCGAGCAGCAGCTGCAGCAAGCCCAGGGAGAGCAGCGGCCGCCCGGGCAGCAGCAGCCGCGAGCCGCCGCCCGGGACCCGCGACGAGGCGGACGGGCCGCGCGGTCGGGTTCGGTAGGGCTGCTCGGCGAGCTGCGGAGCCCCGGCGACCGGACAGCAAGACCCCGGCAGCAGCACCGGGAGCGACATCTGGAGGCCCGACGGCCACCGGAGAGCCGCGCGCTCCTCGTTCTCCCCTCCGGAAGGAGAGGGGGGGTTCACGGCCCGCAGGGTGGGTCCCCGCCGCTCGGGGCCGCTGCCATGGTGGGTGCTGCTCGCCGAACTGAGCCCAGCGGCTCCGGACGGGGGGCAAACAACACCTAAATATACCACCCGGAAGTCAAACGCAGAGCCAGGATGGAAGCGCTCACACGTGTTAAATATAGAGACCACCGGGAATGTGCGCGAGGCCGTGCGCGAGGCCGTGCGCGAGGCCGTGCGCAAACACGGAAAGTGCACACACACTATACTATACACAATATATATATAGAGATATATATATATATATACCTAATAAAAAAAAAAAAATTTATATATATGTGTATATATATATATATATATATATATATATATATATATATATATATATATATATATATATATATATATATATATATATATGTGGTGTCATTTAGTAAGTCGTGGCACAGGGGTTAGAGAAGGTTGGTGGTTCGAGTCCAGGCTGCCCCGTGTTCCATGTCGGTTTAAAGTGTAATGTAGTCGCTTTGGATAAAAGCGTCTGCTAAATGACCTGTAATGTAATATATATATATAATATATATGTGTGTATATATATAGTTTATGTACAGCTGATGCACCTGGTTGTATAAAGGAGGTTGAGATATGGTCTGGCCATAGCAGACCTTATCCCTGTCTCTATGGTCATAAACATTAAGGGTCTACCTGAGCTTGTTTGTAGCCATAAACAAGGTGAGATGCAGGACTGGACTAAGCTCTCAGAAGATAATCTGCAATATCACAAGTTACTGACTGATGTGCACTTGAGAGACATTGGCTCTACTTAATCATATGCTTTATGCTGATGATTTGGTACTGTCTCCCTCCAGTGCTGGCCTACAGCAACTTCTAAGAATATGCTCTCAATATGGACTGATGTTTGATATAAAATGTAACTCTATGAATAGTGTGGCAGTGATTGCCAGAACTATTCTTCTTTCTCATTGGCAGGTGAACCACTAGAAGTTGTAAAGAAAGTTAAATATCTAGGACATGTGATCAGAGATGACCTGTGTGATGATGATGATGATGATGATGTGCAGCGTCAGTGTGGAAAACTGTATGGGCGGGCGAACATGCTGGCACGCAAATTTCAATGTGCACTTCTGATGTTAAAATCGCACTTTTCAGAACCTATTGCACCCCACTGTATACTGCCCACCTGTGGTGTCATTTTAGTAAGTCGAAGATGAAAAAACTTCAAGTGGCTCATAATGATGCACTGAGAACTGTGCTTAAAGTCCCTCGGTGGAATAGTGCCAGTGAAATGTTTGTGTCCAATAAAGTGCCCACTTTTAAAGCTGTTTTAATAAATGTTATGTATAGATTCATGTGCAGATTGACAGAGTCTAAGAATATGATCGTTGTGTCCTTAGTGGATGTCTCCAAGAGTGACACAAGGTATACATTGTGCTTCTGGAGACATTGGACACGAAGACTGTATAAGTTTTTATAAATGATGCCTCGTCTGCATCATTCTTAAATGTTGTTTGTATTGTTTTTTTTATCTGTATGTATTCTCTATGGACCTCTGTGTCTGGAATAAAGTTGATTGATTGATATATATATACACAATATACACACACACATCAGTTAATAGTCCAGAATATTTCATTAAATAGCGGTTACTTGTTTAATACCGTAAATGTCAGCTTATACGTGCAATAAAATCCAAGTGCTGAGTTGACCGCAGTGTATTAACACATATTATTAGTGGTGGCTGGTGAGGTTTTCAGTTTCAGTAAACATCCCAGTATGATTCAATGCAAAAAAGGTATTATTCAACATTTATTCCAACAGTTTAACATAATAAAGGACATCTGATTGATACAATTCAGTATATTAATTATATATATAACCATAAATATGTATAAAACAGTATTCGGTATATGATATAACTACCATTCAATTCAATTCATTTTATTTTGTATAGCCCAAAACTGCAATTTAGAAATTAGCCTCAAAGAGTTTTACAGTCTGTACACATACGACATCCTCTGTCCCGAAACCCACCATCGGCACAGAAACATCCCCCCAAACAATGAGAACCCTTCCAGGAGGGAAGAACCCTTAGGGAGAAGGTCAGAGGAGGATCCCAGTCCTCTTCTTGTCCCCAAGAAACCCAGGACCACAGGACTCAATGACTACAGGCCCGTCGCCCTGACCTCGGTAGTCATGAAGTCTTTTGAACGGCTAGTCCTGACCCACCTGAAGTCCCTCACCGACCCTCCTGGACCCCCTGCAGTTCGCCTACAGAGCCAACAGGTCTGTGGACGATGCTGTCAACATGGCCCTTCACTACATCCTCCAGCATCTGGACTCCCCAGGAACCTACGCCAGGATCCTGTTTGTGGACTTCAGCTCTGCTTTCAACACTATCATCCCGTCTCTGCTGCAGGACAAACTCTCCCAGCTGCACCGCCCGACTCCACCTGCAAGTGGATCACAGACTTCCTGTCTGACAGGAAGCAGCACGTGAAGCTGGGGAAACATGTCTCAGCCTCTCGGACCATCAGCACCGGTTCCCCCCAAGGCTGCGTTCTTTCCCCTCGGCTCTTCTCCCTGTACACCAACAGCTGCACCTCCAGTCACCAGTCCGTCAAGCTCCTGAAGTTTGCGGATGACACCACCCTCATTGGACTAATCTCTGGTGGGGACGAGTCCGCCTACAGGTGGGAGTCTGACCATCTGGTGTCGTGGTGCAGCCAGAACAACCTGGAGTTCAACGCTCTAAAGACAGTGGAGATGGTTGTGGATTTCCGGCGGAACAGAGCCCCACCCTCCCCCATCACCCTGTGTGAATCCCCCGTCACTATTGTGGATTCCTTCCGTTTCCCGGGCTCCATCATCACCCAGGACCTCAAGTGGGAGCTGAACATCAGCTCCATCACCAAGAAGGCTCAGCAGAGATTGTTCTTCCTGAGGCAGCTGAAGAAATTCAACCTGCCAAAGACGATGATGGTCCACTTCTACACGGCCATCATGGAGTCCATCCTCTGCTCCTCCATCAGCGTCTGGTACGCTGCAGCCACAGCCAAGGACAAGGGCAGGCTGCAGCGTGTCATCCGCTCTGCAGAGAGGCTGATCGGCTGCAATCTGCCGTCCCTGCAGGACTTGTTCGCTTCCAGGTCTCTGAAGCAGCTAAAAAGATGGTAGCCGACCCCTCCCACCCCGGACAAAACCTGTTTGTGCCCCTTCCATCTGGCAGGAGGCTGAGGTCCATCAGGACTAAGACCTCCCGCCACACCAACAGTTTCTTCCCGTCGGCAGTCGGGCTCATCAACAGAGCCGGTCCCCCACTGCCTGACTATAACACTCCACCGGTCACTTTCTTTCATTCTGCACACGTCACTTTCACTCGTCACTTTTGTTACTTTCTGTTCACTAGTGCACTTTATTTTTATTTTTTTTAATATTTTTAACTTCAACTTTATTCTCTTATTTTAAACTAACCCATAGCCTTATTCTACTAACCCATAGCCTTATTCTACTAACCCATAGCATTAGCATTTCATTTTATTACTCGTGCACTGCTGTCTTGTCGTCCACCTTCGGTTTAAAGTTTATTAAAAGGCAGGAGTCATAAATAGCTGCCACTCCCCCCCCTCGGCCTGTGCCTCGGGGAATATGAGTATTAACATGACTCGGAGGAGTCGCTTCATTTAAACAGAAATATTCCCCATTCAACAACCACGTTTCAGTAAGACAAAATACATCAACATGGTGATCTGATATTAGTTCATTTACCAAAACAGCTTTAGATGACAGAGATCTGATATTCAAAAAGACCCCCTTTAATTCTCCTATTTTGTTGCACTATTGCATTATTAGTTTTAACTTTAATTAAGTTATTTACTACAACTCCTGGGTTGTTTACCTTTAACTTAGATAAGTGTGTCCGTGGGGCAGACAAGGTCTCAATAGGGTTCATTATGCTGAGTGACTGCTCAGATTGAAGCGCAGAGAAGTGTGTAAGACTGCGACTCTGCTCCCTGGTCTGAACTCTGGGTCATGGATTAAGTCCACTGAGAAACTGGGTCAAGTTCTTAGAAAGAAGTTCAGCTCCGTCCAAAGTGGGATGGATGCCGTCCCTCCTAATCAGACCAGGCTCTCCCCAAAACGTCTTCCAGTGATCAACGAAGCCCACATTATTTACTGGGCACCACCTCGACAACCAGCGGCGGAATGACGACATGCGGCTGTACATGTCGTCACTGGCCAGAGAAAACTACGGTGTCCGACATTGTTTTAGCGTGTGTACACACCGGTTCCACATTAACTTTAGTGACCTCCGTCTGAAGTTTGGCCACTCCAGAAGCAGAGAAGATTTAATGTTTGAAATCCTACAATTTCTATTCAGAACCCATCAAATGCAGATGGCAGTGAGGTTTGTGTGGGTTTTTCTGCCCATGTTGGAGTCGATGGGAATGAGGAGGCGGATAAAGCAGCAAAAAGGGCGCTGAAGAGTGGCAGAAATATAGTCGATATAAAGATGAGTAAGGCAGAAGCTAAAGGGGGGATTAAGGGACAAATATGATATGGCAGAATGAATGGAACAAAGGGAGATATCTGTTTAAATACAAACCAGTGGTTGGGAGTGTAGGAGCTGGTGGACGGAAGAGAAAAGAGGAGTAATGACAAGAATAAGAATACTGGCCATACTGGTCTTAACAGTCCCCCCTATGTGGTTGGGAAACATAGTAATGGAAGGTGCGAATACTGTCAAGTAGAGGAAACTGTGGACCATGTTGTGATGTCAGTCATAGGCGTAACCACGCATTCTTTGGGGGGGTCGTGAAAAGGTCCCAATCTGTCCCCCCCAATATACAGCAGAAAATATGTCAAATATATCTATGTACATATATCGGCCTATCATTTAATGGTTTGGCCCACGTTCAGTCGAAGTGGCGCGAACCTGAAATGTTTGACACCTTAGAGTAATGGAGGCTTTTAGGTCACCTGACTGCCAGCAGCCGAGCATCCGCGCTTCTTTCAGACAGTCAGTAACTTGATACCGAGCTAAATGTGTAAGCAAATAAAACGAGTAGCCTCATAAGAGCACGAGTCGCTGTTTTTCTGATAAAAGGACACGTGGTCACAATGCGGCATCACAGAGACAGGGAAAGAGACAGGGACAAGCTCTGGACATGCGGATGATCAGGTGAGACATTAATG